TGGTCGAACGAACCTACGGTACACTTTTCCAAAGGGATTTTCGTCGAATACTAGAAACGCCCTTTTGATAGAGTGTGGCACTCCCGTGGCTTTATAAAAAACTTTGGTACCTTGTAACTACGGCTTTCGATTGCTCTATGCCCAAATTCAAAGGTATTTCTGTGATGATTCTATGGGAACTGGACTGTTTTTCATATGATATGTCCTTATTATGTGGGGATGGGGTAGTTTCTTCCACGCATGTGGATCACGGCACAGTTTTGTACATCAAAATGCGGGAGCCATTTATAGGACCATGTCTGCATTTTGCAAAGGTTATTTAGCAGAATTTCTCGGTTGCTCGGGCGCCTAATGAGCTGCCAGAGCTTAGCGTAATGGGCGAACCTGATTTTACCGCAGTCCATTTCTTGAAGGCGGTCATTAACATAGAGAATGAAGGGTAGAGGACCGAGAAGGGAGTCTTGAGGTAAACCGCCAACTACGTCCACCCAGTCCGATCTATTCTTCCCGATGAAACCGCGTTGTTTTCTGCCAACCAAAAATGTCCTGATCCAGTCCGTAATTTTGTCCTTGATGCCGAGAACGCTCAGCTTATGTTTAGGGCGTTAATGGGGCACGCTGTCAAATGCTTTGCTGAGATCGATGTGCACTACGTCAACTTTGAAGCCCTCTTCTGAAGCACTTGTCCAGGCTTCGAGCGAAGTCAGCAAATTTAAAAGGCAGGAGCGCCCCCGCCGAAAGCAATGCTGGAAATTTTGTATAATGTCATTTTTGTCGCAAAATATTAGTATGGCCTGCTTAACAAAGACGTTTATCATTTTGCAAGAAAAAAAGTCAGGCTTATGGGTCCAAAGCTGTTTGCAGTATTATAGCTACCTCCCTTATCTATCGGTACGATGTTGACCGTCTTCCACTGCAAAGACAGCTCCTCTGTTCTCATGGAATGTTCAAACCGAGATGGAAGAGGCACCGATAGGTCGGTCGAGAGTTCTTTTAGTGTGTCTTGCGTCTGCAAGGGAAAAGGTAACAGTTTAAATGACGGCTATTCCTTCCCCCAATAAAAATCCCGGATTGTGGTCGGGCGATTCCATCGTAAACGCCGTGATCCTTCAGTTAACACTTTCCCAAGGTTATTCCTTAGAGCTAAAACATCGTCCCGATGCTTTCTTTCACTGCGGATGTATTCATGAAATGTTTTGAACAAATGGTCGCTTGTGTTGTTAGTTGACATTTTTGGGAATCCTAGAGCGGTTCTTCGTTTTCTGAGAAACCTGTGGGTCGACTGTCTTCCTTATCCACGGTGGACTACTGATTTTGTCAAGCACCCTGGCTGCCTGGTCATTTTTCTGCGTCAACGCTTCGGCAAACGATGTTACTTCTACGTACCTTATGTTACCTTCGTCAAGGTCAGGCATCGCCAATTGCCGCTCTTGAGGAATACATCGAGGAAATTTATTCAACTCCTCCATCTCCACTCTTAGACAATTTGTCATCTTCTGGAGGTTCGTAAATTTGTTAAGAAGGGTTAAACATGATATTCAGGCGTCACCTTATAAGTTGCATCCCTTAAAGTTTTAAGAATTTTCGTCCGTTTGGCAGGAGGAGATTTTAAAGGACGTCTACACCGTTTTTTTGTAGTTCGTAACTGAATTTGATAACTGTTGCAGCGTGCTTCGATAGCGCAATCGGGTAAGCACTCGATTTTCACGCGAGGCGTCCAAGGTTCAACGCCCGGTGTTGTGTTGACTGTTATCTCCTGTTGGGATGATGTCGGTAGCTCGAATAGAGGCAATGGCGAACGTGTGTTTCCCTCTTGCAGGGCTGTATCACATAAGCTTACAATTTCCGTGCCTTAAGTGACTTTATGTAAAGACATTTACATAAAAATCTGCATTAGAACCGACTGGAGTGGAACAATAGTTGAGAAAATTCTCAAAAGGCCTAATTTAGATAACAGCTTTGACATGATAGGACAAAGAATCTATATTATTTGCTTGTACCACGATCTACTTCTCAGGATGTGCCCATCGTGGTTTGGTGATTTTGCGACTCGGTCCAACCGATTGTGATTCGCAGAACTACTAATAATTAATATGTTACTAGGTTAGTGTCAGTAACAACTCTTTTAATGTTTAAGTATCCTGCAGAGACAGGCAACTTAGCATAGCTATTTCAGGCTGTTGGCCCTCATCAGCTAAGTGCAGCCAACTCTAGCGTAGCCGCTGAAATTTCCGCTACATCCGAGTTTCCAACCCGCATCTCGCCGGTCGGGGGCAGACGTCTTAATCATTGAGCTAACTCGGGTGTGGCTGCAATTTCAGCGGCTACGCAAGAGTTGGCTGCGCTTAGCAGATTAGGTCCAACAGCCCAAAATAACTATTCTAAGT